CACTTAAAGTGTTTCGTATATTTTGTTCAAACGTAAAATAAATGCTCCTTTGATGCTACAAAGGGAATTTTTTAGTCCTCCAGTGTCTAAATTTTAATTTTATATCAAGTCCTCTAGGACTGGAAAAGACGGGAATAACACCAAAGAAGACTTTCGAAGACTAAAAGTAAAGGACTAAGATTTCGGCTCGGGATATTTTGCATAAGAATTCTTAATTGGTATTGTTGTGAGATAACCTATTTTGGGACAATTTTGGATTTTATAATCGGAATTTATGCTGTATCTAGGAAAATCATGAGAAATTTCTGCATGCAGATAGTAGTTACACATATTTAGGATTCTGCTTACGGACGAATACAATATTTTTACTGCCTGACGAAAGGAGGCCTATCGTTTCCTCTTGTCTGACTTGAGAGATATTCGTAAGAAAGTATTCTCATTTCAGGCGGATGTTCGATTCGCGTGCGATAAGCGTGGCATTTTTCGCATGGCAATGACGGAGGATTCCGTGGATAGATAAGAGCAATAACCGAGAATATATAAAAACACACCGGAAGTGAGAGGAGGGAGGGAGAGAATTAATTGATACTGTGATCGAAGCGAACATGTGCAGAGAGTAAACGCGCGATGAAAAATTGCAACGGGGAACGCTATGAAATTATTCAATTATATATCCATTTAACTCGATGTTATACTTAACTGTCATAAATATGCATACATCGTTTAAGTCAACGCGACGCAGCAGGAAACGAACGAATTAAATCGATTCAGCGGTCGTGTTACAGCCGATCGATTATAATAACACGGCCAAAGATTTGATTTCAAACAAAATTGCGAACGCTGAAAATAGGAGCTCCGGTGGAATACATCGATCCTTTCCTACGCTGTCTAGTTTCGCCTCCTGTGATTTATCGGTTCCTGTAAGTCTAAGTAGATTAATTGTTCCAATTTCCCAATAATTATTTCAATATTCATTAGCAAATGTTTACTGGAATGTAGCACTTTTTTCTTTCGGTGTATAGAAATCCTCGCGCTCAGACGGAGGCGCGCGATCTTTCGGGAAGTTAGTCGCTGCATTAGTATGCCGACCCGTCCTTAGTTCGCGATAGACGCGCGAACTCTCTTCCCCTCCTCTCTCGACCTCCGTAGTAGCCCTCATATGAGCGTCGCGGTAACAAGACACGTGCTACGCAGATGTCGCGTCCAGGAGCTCTCTCGACGGGACGCCGAGTCGTGATTTAGGCTAATTATGCGCGACCGGCCGAGTAGGTTTCTCCTACCACAGTCATATCTATGTGACCTCTCTCGCGTCGTGGAACGCACACGTGCGCGACCGGCACACGTACGCGTTTCCCCAGCTGGAACTCTGCTGTAGGATCGTTTACCTGACCGTCTCGCGAAGCGGTCACTCGGTGCGAATTTCCGTTCTTCGCGACACTCGAGCGCGCTGAGAACGCTCGCGTTCGCTCCTACACATTACCCTTGCTGCATGCCTTGCATTTCTATTCGCGTTTCCCCCCGTAATTATGTGCTCGCGCTTATGTATACACGGGACTACGATTTCAACCAGGAGCTGCTCTCGGGCTTTGCCTCGCATCGAAAGAAGCATTTTTGCTATTTCTAATCGCATAATTACGGTCAGAATTATTTCTCCAGTAAGCAAGCGTTAAAATGATTTTCGTTGGGGTCTACTTGACAATGGACGGACTGAACGCTTTCTGATTATAAAAACCCATTTTGACAACTGGAAATTCAACCAAAACGCTGGTTGATCAGGTAGATTCAGTCAAACTCTTCTTTTTTTTTTCCATGTATAATTGAGGACGAAAATTCCGACAATTTTAGTGAGATTTCTCTCAAGACCAGTTGGAACAGTTAGTGTTTTTCCGGAACTTTCGATATCACGCTCGTTGAATTTCTAGTCGGAGCTCCGACAGAAGAATACGATGAGCGATCCTACACGTTGCTTATCGCGCGAGATATATGAGATATGCATCGAGCGGACGCGGATAGACGTAATAATTGTAATTCCCTTATACATGTAAATGCGGCTGTATATGTAGCGTCTATGTACAGCGGCACGCGCTTATACATAGTGTGTACGAAATTACACCGGTGGTGGTAGTGGTGGCTGTACTAAATACCGATCCTTGACTACGCGTATAATTATCCGCGCGTATCGGTAGACGGTCTTATGTACGGCTCCTCGCTAATGTACAACGCGTCTATGTATTCGCGCACCTACGTACGTCGTATATCTCGACATTTTAATAGACTGAGCGGCTATCAACAGAGGGGGGTGGGGGGAGGAGGACTCCACACCTGTGCATTTGCATAAGCGTCTGTCATCATTCGCGTTCTACATGCGAAATTCAGATATCGCGATGTATACCGGGTATTCGCACTGATCGCGAGCCACCTTGTGTATATACACCCGGCGGAGGAAAGCCTCTCTTTTTCCTCGGACGTTCCGGCGCAAACTCGATAGTCTCTGCCAACGTTCGACAACGATGGCCGCGCGCAATTCCAATAAAAACCTCTGCAGGAGCGACCGTACGATACGCAATTTGGCGATGCTTAGGAGGGGGCGAGACCGCCGGGGTGGTGTATCGAGATACAAACTCGCAACTAGATTACGAGGGTTCGAGAGAGAGAGAGAGAGAGAGAGAGAGAGAGAGAGAGAGAGAGAGAGAGCCGCGAGGTCGAAGGGTCATCGGCGGGACACGGTCGCGCCGTGGCTTGTACTTCGCCGTCCGATCCTCCTGGGCGCTGTGAAATATAGAAGAACGGTAGCCATTTCATATCATCGCCGGCCGGTACGACACCGACGACAGGACAATAGTCGTCGTCCAACTTTTTGCAAGAAACAAAATTCCGGCCCTCCCGCGGCGAAGCCGCGCTCTGTCTCTTCGAATGACGAAATTTAGCGCAATAACAGAATGAGAGATACAAGCACGAGAAGGAACGCAATGTCGTCGTGAAAGCGGGATGGAAACTCTCAAATTCCATTGGGCCCAATAAATATCCGAGAACAACAACCAGTCGTCGAGATTCTTCGAGAGACGTACCGCGTTTCATGGCGAGAAGACGCATAGAAAATTTCTTGGGATCCAATTGAGACTCGATTTCCCAAAGTAATTATGGATTCTAATTGGGAAATCTACGCAGGTTAGGAGTGTATTGTTTCAAAGGTCGATTGTTTCAACTTCTTCGTAAGATTTACCCGACTTATTGGACAGACCAATCAACAACAGCCATTGATGTTTGCCTAATTGTCGGGTAAACCAAAAAGTTGGAACAATAAAAAAATATTTGTAACTATGTAATCATCATAGTGAAAGAATCGGAAGAACTATAATTTCTCTCCGTATGGTCATTCAATGTTTTCTCAAAGATTGTTTCCATTCTATACCACGATTGAATAAAATATATGAAACATTTAAATATTCATCTGAGCCGAAATTTTAATCCTACCTTAATTTTCTTCTACATTAAGTTCAAATTGTTCAAAGTTCTGTTCTTTTGTTTCTTCCGTGCTACAAACGGGGCAGTTGTTGCAATTTTTTCCACTTGAACACTCAATGTAGAACTGAAATTTAGATTCTGTAGGACTAAATTCCTCCCGAAATACTTGTTGTACTTCTTTCATGTTGAAATTTGTTTCCGTTTTCTCCATTTGAAGACTTGATGTAGAATTTTTAATTTTGACTCGTGTACACTTTACACACACGCGCGCGCATTATTAAACATGTAACTCTGTTTATCAACTTTAATGTGGCCCAAACTAAATTTGGTGATGACGGTCGCACAGTTAAAAGAGGCTTTTCGTGAAAAAGAGGCTTTTTATTTAGCATAAAGAAGAGTGGAATTGTCACAATAGGATAACCCATTTTGGGACAACTTTAGGCATTCTAATCTATGCTGTGTATATATATGCATATATACGGCTTATATGTATGTATATAGGAAAATCTGGGAAAATTTTTACGCGAGAAACCGATGGAAAAAGCGATGATCGGCTAGCCTGGCGGAGAGCGTGCAATTTAGCGGAATTTTACGGTCCTCGTAACATTCTTGCCGCGTCACGCGTACGCGCAATTAACGAGTTAGCTACTATGTAATCACGCGTGTCGTTAAGATGTCCAAAGAAGCTTGGTCCAAAGAAGCGTGGTCTCGCGTCAGCTCTGTGTCTCGTTCGACAGTCGAATCCTGTGTTTAAAGTCGATTTGCGCGGCCAACTTGTTATTACAGCGAGTCGATGCTCGAGGCACGCGGCATCACGTCGTAAAGATTACACGTGAAAAAGCCGCCGTTAAACACCAGTTGCGGGATTCCGGCGCGTTATACTCACTGACACTCGAGGCACTCTTGTATTAGCCGTGATAAAGCACGCCTCGGGAGATCCGGTGGCGACATTTATTAACGCTTTCTTCAACGGCTCTGTATTTACGAGCAAAATAACAAGAGAGAGAGAGAGAGAACATCTCAATTCCGTCTTTTCCTATGCGACTACTTTTTTGAGAGGAGGGGTGATAAGAATGTAAATAAATGGCTGTCGCAGAAAATAGCTTTTCGTTGATATGCGTGAAAGGCAGCTCGATATAATAACTATAGACATAAGAATATATAGAAGGAGCATCACTTTAGGCGAGGAGGAGAATGTAAGATTGGTAGGGAAGAAGAAGATTTTCTTTCGGTTAGTTTCGTTCGTTGGGTTACAGAGTTGTTGTCAGGTGAAGAACAATGAATTTCTGCATTGTATATCGTAATAATAACAAAAACTATGAGTAATATATATCCTTTTCAATTATTTCCATGATGACTTATCAATGTCACATCACTGAAAGCCTGTCCCCGAATCTCCGTTAAGCTCCGTTTGTATATTTTTATGTCTATGATAATAATCACTCGTTCTACCTTTATTCGGAATAAAGGGCATCATTTTCACCAGACTCGCAAAACGAGCGAGCCAACTGTAACTGTTCGCTTTCTATTTGCAGGTGTCGGCCGGTCAGCACATGCAGCTCACGGGTGACCTGAAGCCCGGTGTCTCCGTCGCCGCCCAGCAGGGCATGTTTTTCAGTCAGCAACAGACGGCCAATCAGCCCGGTCCGGGCAATCAGACTGACACTTACTGCTCGGTCTCGCAGTCACAGACTATCAACTTCACCCAGCAGAGCCTGAGGCAAAGGGCGGCAGCCAGCGGGGTGCAGCAACCTGGAGCCGCAACGGGGGCGCGCGGTCATCCGGTGCCGGCTGGCCAGGTCGATCAGCATCAACACGCAAAGATCTTACAACAACAGCAACTGATGCGTGCGCAACAGGTAAGAGCGACTTCGCCTTCGCGAATTCTTTTCACGCGATCGATGAGACAACTCTGGCCTCTCGTCATTGAGTAATTTTGCTAATCGGCGCTTTCTTCGTCATCTACGCTTTCTACGTGCCTTGCAGCAAAGAGACCCTTTCAAGTCGGGTGTTTGAAAATTACATCAATTTCTAAGATAACAATTATTTTTATTACATTTGTCAAAATTGGCGTCAAAAATATTTATTAAAATATTTCCCATAACAATCATGCGACTATTCTTATACAACAGCACGAACGAATTACATTGAAAAATATATTTTTTGACGTGGAAAAAAATTAGTCTTAAATCAATGATAGATGTTCTTATATATAAGCAAAAATATTATAATCTTCTTGGAAGAATTTTGACTCGAGTGAATTGACTTGATATTACTTGCACTCAATTCAAGACTAAAAACGAACTTCTAACAATATATTTCTGCTTACATATGAGAATATTGATTCAAGACTATGTGTACAACAATTGTTTTATTGTTGAAAATATACGAGGTGTTTGAAAATTTTCGTTGTGTGCAGGTAGTAAAATGAACAGTCGTGTTTTGCAAAATTCGCAATAGTTAATTAAGTATGAACGCACGGGAATTTTTCTTTATGCACGTACAAAAACTACGATACGTACCAATTATCTGTGCGTACATTATGAATATACGCGCATTAGAAACTAGCTATTACTGCCCTTTATTTTTACATTATCCGATTTTGTATTCATTCTTTTTCATTTTATTCATTATTCATTTTATTATAATTTACTTAACAACGCAAACTTTCAACATGCTCCATGACGTTTGCTCCCGGGTTGGTGTCCTTCGTGGATTCATTCCAGCTCGCTTCTTCCGGCAAAAAGACCTTGGTATCGTTTGCGTTCTCGAGGATCGCTCGTTTCTTCGTCATTCCTCTGATAAACGCGCGCACAACTTCCACCGTGGCGATCGCTTCTGTAAGCTCATCGTGAGATTGCCGCGCGATACCCCCGGTGGCACATTAACCGAGACATTAAGCTCCTATCCGACGGGAGAGAGAGAGAGAGAGAGAGAGGAGAGTCCGCGACGTTCATATGCAACAGGTACCACTAGGTCTTTTGCAACTTCTGTCCCGCTGCGTTGAAAGAAGCGACACAAATAGGACAAATAGCGCGGCGCGAGCTTCCTCGGAGACGGAGAGAGAGGGAGAGAGCGACCGAGGAACAATAGGGCGAAAAGTTTTTGCGCGGAGTTTCCTGCGGGAAGAATCCGTAGCGATATCGACGAAGCCAAGATATCGGTGAATTAGCGTCCTCGACGATTATTCGTGCTTCACGCGAGATTAAACGTCGTCGTCGATACACGCCTCTTTATCCCCGCTTTTCCCGCGGCTTAATCGACCCGTTGGATGCACATCTCACATGCGGTGGCAGCTCCTCGTGATAACGCTAAATGTATTCGCTTATCTCGTAGACGGGAAGTATTGAATAAGTAGCATCTAATCGGCCGATCTCTCCGCGCATATAGCAGCAGACTGCTTCCTTTCGTTTGGGGATCGATTTCTTTTCGAGGAGACGTAGCTTTGACACCGTGATTTCCTAATCTCCCGAAATTCCGTCACCGAAATTCTTCTAATCTTCTAGGCTTACCACTCACGTCTGTGTGGAACGACAGATGTACTCTTCGTTGGCACACTTATTTTTCGCTGTTTAGTTTGGGACATCGGGTCGGTGAGAGACTTTTTTTCATACGTCCTTACTCAAATATCTATAAATGTGCTTTATCCAGTACACTTATTATATTTCCGCGGATTATACAAAAGAAAAAGTAAATTTGAAAAATTTGTTGCAGCTATTATTTTTAAAATAAGTGCATAATTTACAAGAATATATAGAATAGAAATGTATCTAGTCGGTCTGAATAAAAAAAAACTAATAGCTAACTAATAGGAGCCATTATCCGGCCGCTAGGTGAAGTAAGTGTTATATTACTGGTTAGTAACGACGTTACATAAAGGTAAAAAAAAATTTTTTGAATTAAAATTGGTTCTTGTTGAGATTTTTATGTTTAACTTTTAACACAACTTTGTGTTAATTTAACATGTATTATCTTAACATTTTGTATTCAACATGTGTAAAAGCGTTAAAATAATGCATTTTATGTCTCAGTACCGATTAATGCATTAATTTTGCATAAAATTAACACAAACATTCGAACGGACCGTTTGGGACATCTGTTGTTAAATTTAACAATACAATATTTCTTACCGCATCGATTATTACCTTTTAAATTGTACAAAATACTGTGTACAAAATAGTGACTAAACATTAAATTTCTACTAAGGTTCTACACAGCAAGAAGAAAAGTTTTAAGAAATGAATTCTCTGTTTACATATACGATAATTCAAAGTGTAACAACAATAGAGTCTGCATTTTTCGCCCCTTTCGAATGCTAAACTAAATTGACAATAAAATCTCGCCGTCGATATGTTCCATCGACCTCTCGAAAACGATGATCGTGGAATCGTCGTGCGCGATTAAACGCGTCGCCGGGAAGTCGATTTAACGACGTGAAATTGCGTGGCACACGCGTAGCTACATTTAACGAGAGACCGCCTAGATCTCTTCGTTGCGAGGACCGCCTATTGGTGGCTGACTCAGTCGCAGCGCGATCATTATCTTGATAATTCTAAGGTAGCAAAGACGACGACGACGACGCTCGTGCTCCACTTACTAATTGTATGTTTCACGCAATTGGTTAGTCATCCGTTCTTCCAGGGACGGGCGAGAAAGCACATACATATGCGATGCTTTTCCATCGAGAGAGCATTTATAGCTTCAGGATACCATTAATATTAAATTTGTAAAATTTAAGGTTCAAGTTGGCAAGTATGGTGTCGCCCAGAAAAAAGGCCGAATTTATCAAACAATGGATAAACTAATCGCGTTTTGGTTGAAGGAAGCAGAGTTTCTGGTTCTTATGATCCAAATTTGGTTCTCATAATCAGAGATTTCTTCAACCGAAACGCGTTTGATTAGTTCACTGTGTAGTAAATTCGATCAAATATTTTTTTCTGTGCGTCAAGGTAGATTTTTATCAGTCTGTAGGCCATCTAAATGGCTGCAAACTAAGAGCTTCGAAGTAGCATCAAAATTTTGACTCAGATATATCTTTTTCGAGTATACTTCGTTATCCGGCATCTCTCTCTCTCTCTCTCTCTCTCTATCCATCTATCTGTTTATCTCTAACAATGTTGCTCGCGCGAACCTATTGCAAGCACATTCGACGGATACGCGCATCGCGGGTACATCACGCAGCGCGTGAATTACCTCGTTTCGCTCACCGTGATCGCGGACGTCTCGGGCGTAGTTGCGCGATTGCATTTCTCACTTCCTGGTGTTACGCGGACGCGTGGAAAGTCTCTCTGCGAAGGAGAGGACGACAATGGAAACAACAGCGACCGCCGCAGGAAGCCGATGCTACGGCGGCGATCGCTTTCCTCGTCGCCGTCGTTCACCCTTTCGCTCTCTCGCCTCGCCCGTCCGTCCATCCGCTCGCCTCCTCCTCTCCTCACCGTCGTCGCGCCGGCGTCTCTCTTTCCACTCTCGACCGAGCAACAACCTGCGATTAGGCGAGCAACGCCCTTCTACTCTCTCGAGACTCGCGGAGAGTATCGAGCCGACCTTAAAATCGGCACGTAACGATTTCGTGCAGCCGATCGGACGGATCTCCGCGATCGACTCTCCTGCAGCGGCTTCCCACGGGCAAACTTTCGTAGATTCTCCTCAAATCGAAATTTTAGTCTTATTTTAAGTCTAATTTAGTTCAACATTAAGTCTTCTCAAAGGTCTGCTACTTTGGTGCTATAAATCGGGAAATTGTTTTCTCCACTTGAAAATTTAATGCAGAACTAAAATTTAGACTCTGGAGGTCTCAGGTCTTATTTGTAACATTAAAGAAGCACTTGTTTTACTCCTTCGATGCTATAAATTGTTTTCTTCTCACTTTGAAGACTCGATGTACAATTTAAAATATCCGTTTGCCAGTTTTGCGGAATCTCTCCAAGTTTCGTTCCGAAATTTTAATACCACTTTGACGTTCTTAAGGACAATTTATTCAGTTTGCGTCTATGCTATACAAGCGAAAACCTATTTTGACGATATTTGTCAACTTCTCTCTTGAACCTCAAATTCTACAGATTTCAGTTCGTAATGTTACCTCGCACAATCTATTTTGACGCTAAAACAGCGAGAACGGAAATTTACTATCTAAATGTCTTGCAATGGAATCTTACTTAATGAAAAGTGGCGATATTTTTTATTTTATTTCATTTTATTCGAATAATATTGAAAATAATCGCTCGAAGTCGCAAGTGCCTTATTAAAAGTGGATTCCATACATGTTGCAATCGAATTTGTTTTGATGACGGTATAATAGATTCGCTTTTCGAGTGAAAATATTCACCCTACGATTCACAGAATGGAGAAATCATTCGAGTAAAGAATCATTCGGGTGACACTCAGTTTTTCGAGTGTTATTTCACTCGAAGAAATTTAGAGAGTAAGACATTATTAAAGTAGGAGTAAATTATATTATTGGAATGAAGAAAGTGAGCAAAATTGTCATCTTCTACTGTATTGTGAATTAAAAGATGAATGAAAACATTGGGCCAAAATTTCGACACGCATCTGTCTGTTTTTAATCTCGGTGTCTCTTGCGATTTCAGGCGATGCAACAGCAACAACACATGACAGGTGCAATGGGGAGTGTACGGCCGCCACCGCCCGAATACAAGGCTGCGGCCCAGGCGCAAATGATGCACGCCGGTATCGGTATGGGACAGCAGGCGAGGTTCGCCAACACTGGACCCATGCGTAGAGTTACCCAACAACCTATGCCGCCGTCTGGTAAGCTACAAGATACTACAGATTTCAATCAGAGGAGATCGCGGATATCATTCATTTTATCTATATTATTGCATTTAAACGAGCTTTTCATCAAAAGAAACGATAATGAAACCAAAATACGACAAAAACATAAATAATAAGAATTGACGAAAAAAACAAAAGTTGAACCATACCTCATAATCTCTTCTTCATTTATTATTATTTTTATTTTCTGGCTGATTATTATCTTGCGATAATGATTACACATTGGATATTCACAAATATTTTACTCGCTCAAAGGCAACTTTTAATATTTTATCAAATTCACTGACAACTAAACGAAAAAGAAAAAAAAGATTGGAGAGATGAGACAGTTCATGTTACCACATCGTATATGCCTTAATGTTATAATTAGGATTACTTGTACAATTTTTCACCTTACAGATGTCTAAGGCCGATAATTCTCATTATTATTACCGTTGTGGTCAATAGACGAATAATAATAATAATTATTATTATTATTATTATTAATGTCATTGTTGTATATTTGTTATTATAATTGTCATTGTTGTTGATAAAATTATATTCATCAGCATATATTAGAATATGTGATACTAGCTGTTGCAATTCATACGTTGAAAACTCTCAGACTGTCAACTATCTCTCTTCATCAGATCCGTTCTTTATTTTTTTTTATCGATGTAGTCTTCATCATCCATTGTTATATCATCTGTTTTAATTATTTATCATCAATGTGTTGTTATCATCGTTGCTAACTGTAGACCAATATTTACAGAATGTCTAACAATTATCATACCAATGTGCAAATACATCAAATTAAGAAGGAAAATTCTCTGCCGCGTTTTCAAAATTGTACAATAATCAATAAAGGAATTAATTGAAAAATATCAACGGGTAGGACGAGTTCTCTATGGGGCTGTAGATGTCCGTTGATAATCTTTCGGCCATGATATGCGATACTGGACTGTACACTGAAAAAAGAATCTGATAATAAGTATTAAAATTTAATAAATATTTAACGGGCAAATATTTGATTATTGCAACCAAATAATTTAGTTCCGTATATACAATATACCGTGTGGTCCCGTACATTTACAGTATACAGAATAAATTATTCGGTTGCAGTAATCATATATTTGGTTGGCAAATATTCACCAAATTTTAGTACTTACTACCAAATCCTTTTTTCAGTGTTCATGATTTTCTGTCCATATGTTTTACCTGCATACGAGCATTGCTGTGATCATTGTTAGAGCCTCTTTATAAATATTTATTAAACGAAATTTTAACGTTTTACCAGATTTACCGGAAGCATCGCCTAAAAAAAGAGGAAGAAAAAGGAAGTCTGAAAACATTGTACCATATCAACTTGAGTGCCTTGGATTGTTACGAAACCAAACGAATCAAATCAATTCGTCCACACATATAAATGCACACAACACTCCTTTACATCCGTTAGCGGAAACTACTTTCCAGTATCCGTCCAGTACGCATTTTTTATTTTTTATTTATCTTCATTCCATTATTATCACTCTCTTTAAATCGTTTTTATCGTCACTGCTGGACAGTAGATGAAACATCGCTCTTTGGATGGAGCAAAACATTATTAATATTGTATCGGTTCCACTGGAAAAAAATATTTTCAATTCTTCTTATGGAACGTCACTGCTGGACAGTAGACGGAAACTTATTTCTCATTATTCACGATATTAACATTGTATCAGATCAACTGGAAAATATGGGAGAGAAGAAAAGGAGAAAGAAGATAAAGATAAATACAGTTAACACAACAACAACCGAATACTCCGAGAACCAGCAAATGCAGCCGATGAACATCAATTTGCATATCAATCCGAAAACAAGTCAATCCCCACACATGCAATATTGTCCAGGATCGTTCACAGAAACTACATCTGAAAGTTATGAATGTGGTCATGCAGGGCCGTCTACAAAAATTGCACTGCAGAACTATCCTCCTTGTATGCGTCTTTTATGTTATTTTTATTTTATTTATTTTATATTCCAATTTCGATATATATATTATGTCGATGTACATGAAATGTTGGATTTTTGTTATGTATATTATATTGGCTAAATTATATTGAAGATGTACTATAAATTAATGGCAAAAACAATATAATCAGTCAATGTTTGTGTATTAATATTATCAGTTTTTTTTTCTTTCCGGAAATATCGTACGTGCAAGCGGTATTAATCTTTGAACCGCAATATGAGTGAAATACACAATATTATCCGATATTAACTCGGAAACAGTGCAGGCAGCTCGCAAAATTGACCGAATTTACGGTGACAATACAGTTAACGAGCGGACCATTCAACGTTGGTTTAAAAAATTTCGTTCAGCTTCAAAACGAACCTCGGAAACAATTGTTGACAACGATGTTTCAGAAAAAAATTGATAATCTTAATACACATTAGAGACATCGAACTGATATGTATTTTTTTTTCCAAGCGCATATGTCTTCAATATGGCCAACATAATATGCATAACAAGGATCCGACATTGCACCAACCTAATTTTTTTATATGTATAATTTATCATGATGTTTTTTTTAATTATTGTTTTATATTCAAATATTTTTAAATTGTATTTTGTATTGAAAAATTATCGAGCGGTTTTCAACAGAAAGCTCTGCAAAAGGTATGTTTGTAACAATTACTGCAGAATATTTTTTCTGTTGTTCGTGTGCACACTGATGGCAGCTATTTTTTGCATGGTGAATTCCGCCAAGAAATGCCCCAAAATCGTCAACTCTGAAGCTGTCATCTATAGTGTACATTTTGACATCTGTCACATAGACAAATAACGCAGATAATTTTAAGAAGTTTTCCGCGTACCGCGAAATATGCTCTGTCGTCCGTTCTATGACCGCTACTTTCCATAAAGAGTATGGTACGACTGTTACGAAAGATAGTTTCCAAAAGATTCCGTGCCCCGGAATATGCTCTGTCCATGTTGATGGCGGCTGCTTTGCGCGAAGAGTTCCACAAAGACTGTTCTCCATGGAACATCATTTATGACACGCCCACACTGTGTTGCGACAGATAATTTTCAGAAGATTCCGTATGTCGGAATATGCTCCGTCGTACGCTCAATTGCATGTTGTTACGACGGATAATTAAGGCTCCTTCGCTTCTTGTTTGATGAGACGTCAGAAGCGAAAAGACCGAAAATCTTCGCGAAATATGTTGAAACAATAGGATACGGCCGTAAAATAACACTTGCGATCGATTGAGCACATTTGCAAAATATTCCGAAAAGTTTCCTCATGATCTGACAATCAATAAATAAGTGTAAAATTAACAACACAACTTTCTCTATTTTTTTTTTTTAGCCTGATTTCGTCGCGTTAATTTCTCTTTCTTTCCTTTCATTTAATTTTATTGATTGTAAGGAGAAAATTTACGGAATATTAACAAGTGTTCTCGATTGGTCACGATATATCATTTCATATTCTTTTACTTCAACATATTTCGCAAGAATTTCAGGCATACGTTTTTGATATCGTTAATCAAGACGACAGGAGACGACGGGACAAAATTATACACGTATATTTGCAATAAATCCAAGACATTCACACTGGTGCATGATTTCGGCTAGCGAGTTATCGAATTTGCAGCGACGCCGTCATTACGGATGTTTTTCGCAGGTCCGATGATGAGGCCGCAACTGGCGCAACAGCAGCAGCAGGCGTTACACTCAACCGGCGGTAATATGTACATGGGCGGCGGCGGTGGGATGGCCGCCATCGGCGGTATGCATCAGATGCACCAGCGGCTAGGCTACCCGAGAACCAACAATCAGCGGCCGCCTAACGTCAACGTCGGCCCTCCGGATGGCCTTGGGAATAGCATCGCGGGTCGCGGTGGCCAGCAGGAATGGCGACACGTTCTGATGCAGCAGCAGGGCTTTCAGATGCGATCGCAATTCAACCAGCAAGGTCACCAAGGTGAATGCCAAGAGAAAGAGAGAGAGAGGGAAGGAGAATCCTTTTGTCGCCGGCCATCGTCGCCGACGAATCGCGATGTCCCAACCTCGCGAACCCTTTCGAGAGAAGTGGTTTCATCGTCAGACGTTTTATTCTATTTTCTGTGCACACACACGCTTGTACGGGAAGCGTGTTTGAAAAATTCATCGAGTAGATAAACTCGCCTCTGTCGATTTATTTACCGCTGGCCGTAAAAATTATTTGCACAGGATCGGCATGCGGGATTGAATCGTGTGATTCTTTTCAGGTGGCTTCGGCATGGGCGGCGCGGGCGGCATGCAAATGACCGCGGCGCAGATGCAGCATCAACAGCAGCTAATCCGCTCGCAAAACGGCGGCATTGCCGGATCGGGAATGTCCAATAGCACGCAGATGCAGCAACTGTTGTCGCAGCAGCACCAACAACAAACGCTAGCTATGCAACAGAACAATAACCAGATGTCACTGCAGATGCAAATGTCGCAGACATCTTCCGTTAACTCGGTCAACGCTACTGGCACCGGTGAGTAGCCAAATATATCAATAGATAATTACGCACACACGTATAAAAATTAACTTTAGATCAAATTCCATCGACGATTTCGGCGATCAATATATATTTGGAAATGACATATTTCACAAAAAGAAAAGAAGACGATACCGATGGTTTCTCGTGCTTCACCAAGTAATAATTTACGAATCATCTGTCCAGGTTCCCCGTTGCATCCGCATCAGCAGTATGGTGCGGGCAGTCCAGGGGTGCGCAGTCTGCCGCAACAGCACACGCAACCACCGGCCACTACTACGGACCCGTCCGTATCGGCCACTGATTTTAGCCTCGAATTCCTAGAGACTCTTCCTACAGCAGACACGTCGAATTTCAGCGCTCAGGAGCTGCTTAATTCTTTAGACAGTACGGCTGCCTTTAATCTCGACATTCTGTAAGACCAGAACCCGACTGGTCGTCGGGAATGATACCGACTTACAATAACGCTCGAGTGAGCTCAACCGCCTCTGAAACGTACAGCGCGACGGTTCTTTCAATTTCTTATTCTCGTCGTTGCATTCCAAGCTGGTCAAAAAACGGCGATATGGCGAAGGGGAGATATAACATTAACGTCAGTGAAACGCGGAAACTACTCTCATCCGTCTTTTCTTTCATTCGGTTGAGTTTGTCAAGCTAGGTGATATAAAACGATGAATGATGCAATATAAACGTAGCTCATTTGCCGGTCAAAAATCGATTATCACGTGCCAGCTCGTCGGTGAACGTTCAGATTTCTTGGTAGACGAACTCTCTCGGCTCGATCCTTCCTCACGATCCGTGCGACGTCTTTTGTTATTGTTTCGTTGCGATGCTGCTGCTGTGACAAGTTGTTGCATCATTGAAATACATCACGTTCGCTCTACCGCATTTTATTTGGCAAGCTGCAGATCACATTGTTTTTATGTAATTGTAACTTTGTGTAAGCCTTAGTTTGTTTATATATAGCGAATAAATATAAATAAATATATGAAGAAAAATCCATTGTAAATATAGAAACAAAAGACTATTATCATATGTGACGTTAATAGTGAACGTGTAAGTAGAAATGACAATTTTTAAGACTAATTTGATGAAGCAATGCGCCACATATGTGTGTGACGTTGATAGCAGCGAACGCGATATATTTCTTTTCGAATGCTGCAGATTTGTTAATCGTTTTTTTTTTATTCATCTAAACTATGTAAATTTCTCTAGTTTTAAGTCTCTCTAGTTTTATCTAGTGAAGATTTTGCGGTGTTTTAAGTAGAATCACAGTCTCTTGACAAGAATCTCTCGACGCATATCTCAAACTCGGCATGAATTTTATTTGGTTTGATAAAATCAACCGATAGGATGAAACATCGCTTTCGTAAAAGACAAATTTGAAGGTATACGTGTAAATATTTTCCGTGTTCCACTGACGATTTCTCTTCACGCGTCTCAAGATTAGCTGTTATATATATTTCCTCTTCACGTCATCATTTTCAGATTGACGTTAATGCTTAATTTATAAGAATAGCAGTATAACAATTAGAGAGTATTCAAACATGTGCCGGCATACTTACAATTAACAAAATGTCAATTATTATACATTTGATATGAAAACGGCGAGGTGGAGAGGAATCAACGTCACCAACGTAACGATATCGGCAAAACGTGGTAACTGTTTGCGTTTTTCCTCATAGCATCGCCGTTTTTGGGGATCAACGTTAATACTTAATTTATAAGAATAGCGATGTAACAGTTAGAGAAGTAGCGTATTCAAACACATGCCCCGTTTGTGGCGTATTTGCAGTTAAAAAAATGTCAATTATCAAACATTTGATCTGAAAACGGCGATAAAGAAAGTATAAAATTGACAGTCGTTCTTGAGACGCGTAATTCCGTCAATCCAGCCGATTGTGAAATCGCGCCAGTGAAAATATTCATTCGTGTGAGTCTTCGAGTTTGTCTTCTATGAATGTTTGACGGTTGAATTTATCAAACCAAATGGTGAGGGAGGGAGGGAGGGCATATACTGAGTTTGAGGTACGCGTGTGTGTGTGATTATTGCAAACAGATACTTAAGATTAGTGAATTCCTAAGGCTGAACAATTTCAAGAAAAAGAAAAATGCTTAAGAAATATGTCGCGTTTATAAAGTAAAAGAAGGAAAATAGAACACGCGTGGAATATATTTCGATGCGCGAATTTTCATAAAAAATCGTCAGAAACAGTTTTTAAAGAATGACGGCCGACTGTTAAGAAATCTGAAGGTTTATTGGCGCGAGGTACCAATTTATTTTTTACCAGTAAATTGGATCAGCCAAGCAAATATTAATTGTGTTAATCGTTCGTCTAGCATGAACGATTCGTCGAATAGTTTATTACATTTTTACGAAATGCAATTATTTCAGTTCGGATTGATATTGCCTTTATATTACGATCATTCATCATCTTTATATTCATCGTTTTGTAGTTAATATATCAACATAATTTTATTCTCAACCGCGTTGAATTAAACATCGTTTCCGCAGAAGATATGTACATTGCGTTTTACCGAAGTGGTAACGTCCGTGACGTTGTTCTTCCTCTCATCGCTATTTTCAGGTCGATTGTGGGGACCGGAATGTAACGAAGGGAAATGGGAACAAAGTTTGCGAATGAATCGAACTTCGTCGCTAACGTCGCACCAGTTGTACATTTTAGAGATGGTCGATCTCGCGACGAAGGAGAGAAAAAGGTAGGACGGGCGAAAATGCACATTGTTACAGAGAGAGAGAGAGCATCAGGGACCAACGAAGAGAGCAAAGCGTGTGATGTCGATTGTCACAGTGAATCGTTGCTACTCTTTCCAGACGGTATCAGAGAAGTTGCTAGCAGTGCCTAAAGAGAAAATTTGTCCCGTTTGTTACCGATTCGTTAGAAAATAGCTTGCGGCAAGAAGTTGCACGCTCGGTGCGAGACTTCCGCGCACCGAGATACATGCAGGAATCGTAACCTTGAGTCCTTGATTTTTTTTTTATATTGTCGACGGTCGATCATGAAGAAATACGACACAATTGAGGCGAAAGTTACGCGTTACTTTTTCGAGGGTAAACCTTGGTTGGGACGCATATATATGTCGTATTATTTGTAATGTTTATATAAGAACACACGCACGCACGGGCATCTTTTGATATAGAATAAATTCTATGTTGAATTTCGAATTGTTATTAATAAAAAGGCGTTGAGAGTTCCTACGAGTTTATCTCTTTATTTGGACTCTTCCGAAAAATACGTGCGAGGAATCTCATTTAATCGCGTTATTACGTTATCGTGGATCAATCGGCCGAACGTAAAATTAATTCGATCTGTTTCGCCGCGCGGAAAATTCAGACCACCGTCGACGGCTTATCGCGCGTCGTATCGATCCGTCCGAAAGTCAATGCGCATTATCCAGCGCGTTATCCCGTTGCGCAATAACGCGTGCGTCGGCGAGATTGTTTTCCACGTTCTGTTTAATCTTGTTCGATCAATTCCCCGTCCTCCCCGTGAGAGATATTTTTTTTTTCGATTCTTTTTTCGCGTCTTCTCGGTCGCGGTTCCCTTCACGGGCTACGAAAATGCTCCCGAATTTCGTTTTCTCTTTCTCTCTCTCTCGCCCCGCTTTATTCTCCGTCTCTTTCATCCCACCGACTGCGGCGGACAATCCGTCGCCCCAGTCGACGAGCGAAAAGAGCCGTCTTTCTCCATCTGCGTTACGATCCTACACTAGGTCGAACGGCAGCCTAACGTTGCTCGTGGGTGGGCCTCGGCAGGAGGATCAATATCACCGTGAGGGAGAAAACGAGCGAATGGGGGTAGGAGACCCGCCGCGATGAGGGATAAGGATTACAAGGGCGGTGGCGACGAGAGGGGACGCGTACTCCGAAAATGTCAATTCGCCGGCTTCTCATGAAATTACGATCGCGATAAGGGTTGGCCCGACGTGTCGACCCCCGTTCGATTTACAGTGCTCTCTCGCCGCTTCCCTTCCTCTCTCCCTGCCCCGAGCCGAGCTAGCTGCCAAAGTCTTGAGACACTCGCTCTTTCTTTAATTCTCTACCCCTCTCCCCCCCCCCCCC